GGTAGTTTCAAATTTCTAAAAAAGTCAAAGGTCATTTTGGAAAAGGTTATATACTATTTGGGCCATTTTCATGTATATCCCGTTTTAGGGGGGCTTTTGCACGTTGGACTGTTGAAAAACAGTTGGGGTTTCAGGAGTATTGAAAAGAATATTTTGAAAATGTAATTTTAAAAATAATGTTAATCCCCGTTTGGCTCCCAATTTTCAAATTAAAATGAGTGGAATAATATTTTTTTAGAATGAGTGATTGAAAAAGAAAAAAAAAATCGATTTACATGTATTATTTTTTATGAAAGATTGTATGATTAAAAATAGAATAGAGAAAAATAAATTTTAATTTAATGGAGGTGAAGCAATGGCTAGATTTCCAACATTTCAAATTGCTTTTGTGTTTTCAATGAAAATATAGAAAACCATTTAAAACATGAAAATAAGTGTTTAAACAAAATTTTTAAAACACAAAATGAAATTCTAAAAAATTTTAAAAAATAACATTTTGAAAATGAAATCCAAAATTCTAATAAGATAAAAATTCTAAAATTTAAAATAAAGAGTAAAAAATAAAAATACTCCGAGGTCTTATTGTTTATTTAAATAGAAATATATCGTGAAAAATATATGTACATGGATGATCTAACGAGCACTAGTGTTCATTTTATATTAAATACTTGTTTGGTATGGATTTTGTAAATTGATTTTTTGACCGTTAGAGATAAAGTGGGTCCTACTCGTAGGAGAAGAATTCAAAAACGACAGTTGGAATAATGAAATAACGATAAAAAAATTGATTTGAATTGGATTAAAATTTCTACCAAACATGCTCTAAGTATCAACGACGTATCAAATTTTGAGGGGGTGCAAAAGGAACTCGTAAGGAAATAGCTCAATATCGACAGTTCAAGTCTTGTATATATTTTCTCCAAAAATGCATACCAAGCCAAGTCTTCTGTTTTCTTGCAAGTAAGTCTCTCAACTTCTATTTCGACAATTTCAGTCCTATGAGTTTTCTACTATGCCCAAATTGGTCCCTCATCTTTCGAACTTATGCTTTGATTGTCTGTTCTTTGATTTTCTTCAAATTTAGTCCTACAAGTTCCTAAAATGTTCACAGTATATTCATTAATAGAAATAGAAATTCATCCAACAAGCAAATATTAAGTAAACTTACGAATCTAAATAAGCGTATAAAATACTATTTATCAAAAGAAATTTATGATTAATACCCATTGTGTTAGTCATCTTGCAACAAAATATCAATGAACTATTGCCTTGTATTATTGAAGGATGGATCTTTCGCTACACCTTTAATTTTTTGACATTAAGTCAATTGATTTGAACGTGGCTCTATTGAGGGGTTTATCTCTCTCTCATACAGAGATAGAGGGTTGAGGCAACATCACTTGTTACCCTAAATAGAGTCATCGAATGAATGCTTGTTGAATCCCTAGAATTTATAATTAACTTTGACTTAATTTATTTAGAGTTTGTTTGAGTCACATTCAAAAAGATACATTCTTCAAAAGTGATTTGACATCATTTCAACCACACATTCTTCAATAAAATAGTATTACACGCAAATCTAAAATTTTTCCTTACTTTTTAACTAGACATTTCGCATTGATTTGACATAAATACTGCATTTTTTTTAGAATGTGGCTCAAATATGGGCTTAAAATTTATAGTTGAGGCTTTCCCATGTTTTGTGGGCCCCCATTCTGTTTATCATTCTTTTTCGCTCTCTTATTTTTAATGACACAATCTTCCATAAAATAATATTATACGCAATTCTAAAACTTTTCATTTTTTTTCAACCACACAATTTTCAAAAAAAATACTATTCCAACCATTAAAATTTGGAAAGAATGAGGATCAAACGAGGGCTAAAATCAGATTTTGATAAAATTTATTGAAATGTGTGGTTGAAAAATTATGAATCTCATCAAATATGAGGTTAAAATTAGTTGTTGTACCCAACAGGAGCTTAAAGACAAACACGCAAATTTGTCTAGTTTTCTCGTTTTTATTCTTAACTCAAATTGCGCGTTTCGCATCCTTAGGCCATTTCACGTTTCATACAAAAGGCAGCAATCTACCGAAAACTACAAACAGAACGGCCGAACAATTTGCCCCAGCAGTCCAAAAACCAACCCCCACATTACCGTCACTATAAAGCGTAATATTCTGTAATGATCCGTGTCCTGCAAACCGCCATGGCTGGCGCGCTCAATTTATCTCCATCTTATTCGTCATTCAAAAACCCTAGCTTAGTATCCATTTCCAATCCTAAACTCTTCAATGGAGTATTTTTCAAAACCCGCCTCTGTTTCTCCACTCGTATCTCCAATGCCTCCATTCGCTGCTTCACGTCCAATGCCGTTGACAAAGTCCGAGTTCAAAACCCTATTGTGGAAATGGACGGTACTTTTTCGAAATTAAAGAATTAATTGACACTACTAATATACGGATTAAATTTGTTCATCTTGTCATTTTTTTTGGGGGTTTTATTCGGTGGTATTAGGTGATGAAATGACGCGAGTCATCTGGAAAATGATCAAAGACAAGGTCTGAACTTTTTACCATTTTAGTTCGTTCTTGAGATGTTTTCTTCTGTTATTATTGTTTTTAGAGTATCTATTTGTTTTTTTCTTTCTTCTTTTATTGGATTGACTGTTATTGCAGTTGATACTTCCACACCTGGAATTGGATGTAAAGTATTTTGATTTGGGGATTTTGAACCGCGATGCCACTGATGATAAAGTTACCGTTGAAAGTGCTGAAGCCTCTCTTAAGTACGTAGTTTACTGGATTTTCATCTTCCGGTGTATCTTTTATTTGAGCATTGGATTCGTGCTTAATTAGTGTAATTTGACAAGATTAACACAAACATGTGACTCCATGTGTTTTTGGTTGTTGACATCTAGCTTGGATAATGGCGAGGGCCAATCGGTGCACTGAAATTGAATGTAGTCAGTTTTTCACGTTTTCTAATTCAAAGCTACTACAAGCTCATAGTTCCATTTTGATTTGGTGGCCTAGAGCAAGTGCTAGTGACCATAACAATGGCTCTATTTTATCTTTCTAGTCCTGGAAATAGAAGATTTGAAGGAGCATGTGAAAAGAAAGAATTTAGGGATTTTTTGGTCAATTGTGCATTTATTAAAAGGTGCTTTGCACAAGAAGCAATACAAGAAGCAGTACTTTGATAGTAATTTAACTCAGAAAGGAAGGGAAGTTTGTAGTAGTAGTATAAACTGCATTCTACTGCTTATTTCGAAGATTTACAAGCGAAACATGTTGAAGATAAAAAAGATAAGAACGCCCCTCTAATTTTGGTACATCATTTCTTTGGAAACTTTGGGGACTGCTTACCGCATAACATCATATTAATAAAATAAATCTGAGTACTGTAATGATCTTTAGTGGTGAAATCAACCTTAGACAATAAAATAGCATTAGAAAAACTCTTGTTCTTGGAATATTCAAGTCATTGTTGATAAAAGAAATAGAAAATAAAAATTAATAAATAGACATGTTACAATAAAATCACAGTATTTTGTAGTTCCTGTGTTTCGTACAAAAATGACTGATGAACCTTGCTTGCAACTGATATATGTGGACACACATAATGCATCCTCATCTTCTCATGATCCATTTACTACAGGTACAATGTAGCCATAAAATGTGCTACAATTACTCCAGGTCTGGTTCCCTATCTTTTGTTCTTTCCTGATCTCTTGAATGGTATTTAATAAGGAAAATAAATTCTCGTCATTGCTTGATTTCACTTTGTTTCAGATGAGACTAGAGTCAAGGAATATGGCCTAAAAGCTATGTGGAGAAGTCCCAATGGCACAATCAGAAACATATTGAATGGTCTGTGTGAAATAAACTTATTGCCCTGTTATCTCATTGCTGATTAAAAATATTCATGATATTTTTTCTAGGAACTGTTTTTCGTGAGCCAATCTTGTGCAACAATATTCCCAGAACTGTTCCGGGTACTCCTGCTTATCCCTCTCAAATTAATTAAAATATATTGAATCACCATGGAGTTACTTTAATCCCTTTTTGCAGGCTGGAATAAACCCATTTGTATTGGCAGACATGCCTTTGGTGATCAATACCGTGCCACCGATACAATCATAAAAGGACCTGGAAAACTTAAAATGGTTTTTGGTCAGTTGACTTCATTGTAGATGTTGTAAGTAAATTGCCATAAGCTGTATCTTTTGAACAAACCATTCTTTACAAATATGTTTCTTCTATTTATTCCCAGTGCCAGAAAATGAGGAAGGACCCATGGAACTAGATGTCTATGAATTTAAAGGTCCTGGTGTTGCCCTTGCCATGTATAATGTTGATCAGGTTTGTCTCTTACACAGCTCGCCTGCGTATTCGATCTTTTCTTATGGCGCATTTGTAGTGTTTTGCCTCATCCTCTGGATTTCTGTGAAAATTTGTCAGTCTATTCGAGCATTTGCAGAATCATCAATGGCAATGGCATTTGCAAAAAAATGGCCTCTATACTTGAGCACTAAGAACACAATTCTTAAGAAGTACGATGGCAGGTAATTTTTTTGGGAAAAGCTTTGTCAAGTTTTATTATATTAATAAAACTAAACTTACTTATACTACCATTCATATCAATATTTTACTATTTCAGGTTCAAGGATATATTTCAGCAGGTATATGAAGAGAAGTGGAGGGAACAATTTGAAGAACATTCAATATGGTTGGTTTTATATCTTTGATGTACAACAGCCTCATGTGCCTATTCACATCGTTTTCTATTACAGTTACGATTACAAAATCCGTGCTTCCCTTAGGTATGAGCATCGCTTGATCGATGACATGGTGGCTTATGCCATGAAGAGTGGTGGTGGATACGTTTGGGCCTGTAAGAACTACGATGGAGATGTCCAAAGTGATTTACTTGCACAAGGTGTGAATTCCTCTATAAATCAAGACATAAAAAATAGATTAATGTGGCTATACTTTCTATGTGATTCGCAATATATTAACTAATCCTGTTAGTTAATTATGACGTTGCAAGTGTTTCTAATATTCATTTAAATGCAGGATTTGGTTCTCTAGGCCTGATGACTTCTGTTTTGGTAAGTGCTGCTTTGGCATATTTGTCTTAGTCTCAAGGTATTTCATGTGATATTGATACAGTCTATTGTCTGTTTTGAAGTTGTCGGGTGATGGCAAAACATTAGAAGCCGAGGCAGCTCATGGCACTGTAACTCGCCATTATCGATTGTATCAAAAGGGACAAGAAACGAGTACAAACAGCATTGCTTCTATATTTGCATGGACAAGAGGATTAGAACACAGGTTATTTTTGTTCCTATAACAATCAACTACATGATTTATTTTCCAAGTGAGCAGATTGCTGCAATTATTTGGATCTGAACATTTTTTTTGCAGCTTGTTTCTTTAGAATATTATGTTCTTAGTGTGATAAAAGTGTAGTCAGTTGTTGAAGGAATTGTAAATTTGCATTTCTTTTCAATACCCTTGGATGTTTCCAAACAGGTTGTCTAATCTCACTGGTTCTGGTTGTAGATTTGCTCGCAAGTCATCCTTACATTGGAGATCTTATCAAAATATTCTAGAAATTCAGTTATAAGATTTGCTTCAATGCCCCATTAAATATTAACTATTGCATGTTTTGGATACTGCGTAAATCGTTCCCCCAGTTAACTTGATCCTTTTGCCTTACCTGTTATGTTATCACAAGTGTTTTATGCTTTTCAAAAGCTCGATGTCCTGTGCTGCATTTAAGCATATCCTGATGCCCATCAACATCTTTATCAGGGCAAAACTTGATGGAAATGAAAAGTTGTTAGATTTTTCTCACAAGCTAGAAGCTGCGTGCATTGAGACAGTAGAATCTGGAAAGATGACCAAGGATCTTGCGATTTTGATTCACGGACCCAAGTAAGTGGTATCTTCCCTGTTTCTGAATTTTTTTGATGATTTGACAACGAATGGTTATTGCGATCACTATCTGAATATTTGTAATCACTTGTATTTTGTCGCATTTAATTGAGACAAAAATATTTAATTCTTAGTTGTTACTTTGGAATGAAAGAGCACCTAAATGAATAACCATGATTGTGCCCCAAAAGAAGATATATGTAGTGTTCAGGGAGCCAACTGAAGTCATGGACCCTCAAAAATTTTTATCAGACGAGCAATTAAATCACCCTGAACATAAAGGTTGAGTTTGGCGCACCATATTAGGCCATATCAAGGTTTTAGTGTAAAATTATAATAGATTTTTAGTAGATGATGGTATTATGGTGGATTAAGGTGTAGTATTCCTTGATATTTTAGTCAAACAAATGCCATTTATACTAGCTGTCTAGTTTAAAATTATCTCCACCCTCCACATTATGTTATCGGTTCATGGTGCAAAAGATATCTTTTAACTAGAAGATATAATGATATTATCCATCTCATCCACCGTAATACATTCCACCATTTATTATCCTGTCTAATCTCTTTATATGATCTAATACGGCGCAACAAACACTACTTCACTTGACTATTTTCAGACACTGTATTTAATTAATGGTTTCTAGCTTTTGTTTGTTCTTGTTCTGGCAATTCATACCGTCCATACATGGTGATTTGATCTAAGATTTCTATACCCAAAGGACGAGTTTTAAACTATATTTTGAAATCATTATTAGGAGGGGATTCCTCATTCCTTTCATTCAGAATCATGCATATGGTTCATTTTCGGAGGGTACAAGATTTTGAAATCCGGGTGCCACGACTCCTGTTCAACTTTCACATAGTTGTTTCAGCGTGAATTATATTTATCTGCTGCTCCTAAGGGATCTGGTTTACATGCAGGGTTTCAAGGGAGTTTTACTTGAATACAGAAGAGTTCATTGATGCTGTTGCACATAATCTCGAGTCAAAGCTTCAATCAACATCACTTGTTTAATGTGAAGATCTCCAGTTATTTGTTCAAGTTAGTAACTTGGGAGTAGACAATAAATTCTGAACCTTGCTAAATTATTGCGAATCAATTCTGTATTTCATCAGTTAATCACAACTGGTGCGGGAATATGACAGTAAAAATGATGGAAGTTACATCACATTGTACTGCAAGTTATTTTTAGAAGGTAAACCAACCTTTTTTTCCGTACTAATGATCATCTATGGATTTTGTTTTTCGTTTTTTTAATGCATTGCTTTAGACTTGGGATAATATGGAATACAACTCCAATATCATCGCGGTTTATAGAAATTTACATATCCTGAAGTTCAAGTGAAATTTACATATTGCCACTGAAGTTCAAGTGAAATTTCAAATGGGTCATTAAGATATTTTGGTGAGCTATTTCAATCTAAATTCAAATAATGTTACATATCCTGAATGATATATCTTTAAGATAAAAACGTGATTTCAAGAAAAAATGTCACGTTCATATTCAAGTCATGTATTGTAACTCTATTTAGAATCAATTGTTTTAATAACTATTGGTTCATGTGAAGGCTTGGCATCTATGCCAAATATAGCATACGTTAATTAAATTAATATTTTAATTAATTATGTAACACTATTTCTCTTGTTTAGGCTTCATTTTAATGAGATTATATGAAAAATGTATTTTGAAAAAGTAATTTTTTGAAAAGCATTAAAAAATAAAGAAAATTTTTGAAGTTACATGTAATATTATTTACTAAAAGATATGTGATTGGAAAAAGAAAAAAAATGTATTAAATTATAATTGAATGGTACATGCAAATGTGATGCTGAGTTCCTGACGGGCTTTGCTACATGAACCCACACGTCCGGCTACATGCCCTTCACATGGTGGTGGGTTCCACACATTTATTGTGCACAGATTCCATCCGGATTAATCCTTTAAATTCGGACCATGGAGTGGACCAAGGTTCAATCGTTGCTTTTGTCGCGTTCAATCCACTTTCATATTTCCTCTTCTTCTTTCATTTTGCTTCTCATTCTGCCAGAGAAGAGTTAGAAGGACTTGAAAAGTAATCGGCGAAGGGTGAGTAATGGCGCTACCCAAGGCTAAGGAAATTATAGCTACCAATCCCGTCGTTGTCTTCAGGTATATATATTTCTCTGTACAAATACGCACAATTAGTCATTTGTGTGGGACGGATCGTGAATTTTTATGTGGAGTGAGTTTTTGATGGATTAAATTTATGGATCTGTTTTTTTCCTGATGGCAGCAAGTCATACTGTCCCTTCTGCGTGAGCGTGAAGAAATTGTTGACGGAGATTGGTGCTTCCTTCAAGGCTATTGAACTGGACACAGAGAGTATGTTCTCTCTATGATACTCTTTTTATTTCTTCCTGTTCGCGTGGATTGATTTTAATATTCAGGATTTTTTTCCGTAAGAAGTTTGAAGGTTCTTCGCATGCTAAAAATCCTTCATATATTGGTAGTTGGTACTGATTTCTCCGTAGGTAATTTTACAGTCTATTTAGTGTTCACTGTAATTCGAATTACTGTTACTTGTTGGTGGCATGATACATCCATTTATTTGGATTGGTCTTTGTACAGATCCAATCCAAATACAGTGCGCAGGCTTAAAAATCATTTGATATGATCCTGATTTATAAGCTAATTTTCATTAACTGAAGCGTAAATGAATGATTTTGCATCCGCATCAATTTCTTTCTGCTTTTCATCTATTGTAGTTGTTGGAAAATTCTATTAGTTTTTTGCCAAGTGGGAATCATAAGCGGCCTTAAAAATATTTAATATGATGATGATATGTAGGTTATATTTTTTCATTAATTCGAGTTTATACAAATGATTTTGTATCCTTGTCAACTTGTGTCTGCTATTGATCTATTGTTGTTGGAAAATTGGATCAGTTGTTTGCCAAGTGGGAATCTTAAAGAAGGATATAATGATTAATGTAATAAGTTGGATTGATTAATTATAAATTGTTATTAAGTTTTTTGTATTGCCTATGAACTTAGTATTGCTTGACCAACCTTGACTACCCTGGTTCTTTGGAGGCACACATTTTCCCTTTTCCATAACCAAGGTAGCTGTTTAAGTTCTTAGCCAATTGAATGGCAAAAGAGGGTGCTTATAAACATCTATTATATGCATTAAATATTTTATAAAGACGAATTAATGATTTGAATAGGTACTTATGGACTAATTCATGGGTGTTGAAAACCCAACATTACTTAGGGCTCGCTTGTCAAGACTTTTGAAAAGTTAAAAACTATTTTTGAAATTAAGAAGTTGCTTTTGAATATGTTTGGATATTTTTTATAAGTGTTTTATCTGATTAGAATAGTTTTAGAAGAAGTTGGCCTAAGATAACTTCATCAGATGTTTTTCTGTAAGAAATTGAAGAAAAAGCAGAAACTCTACCTAGCAGACCCTTAGTCATGTGCTATCCTTCTTTCTACGTCAATAAAATACTTTTCAAGATAATTTGTCGACTTCGGTGCAAATTCTATGTGACGTAATCAAACTATGCTTTATTTATTCCATTTTACGATCACGGTTGAAAGTAATATTTGTTGCAAGGGTGATCCAGCTCTAGCAGAAGTAATCCCTAAACTCTAATTTTTTATTTTATTTAATGTTTAATTTTAATGAATCATGAATTCATATTGCATTGGAATTGTGATAAAAATTTCGATCTCTCTGTCTTTGAAATACATACTCGAGTTAAGTACAAGTATTTGGGTAGGTATTTCACCTTGTTTCTGTGCTTGTGCATTTTTCCTTAGCTATATCATATTTGCAAATAATATTATATAATTCCAAGTATTGCTGAGAGAATGCAGCACATTTGTCTTTGTAACTATGAAGGTGATGGGAGTGATATACAATCTGCACTGGCTGAATTGTCTGGACAACGCACCGTGCCCAATGTCTTTATTAGTGGCAAGCATATTGGTGGCTGCGATGGTATCTCATTATTATCCTTCATTGTAGGAGTGTAAGTTCTCATTTGTTTGTTGGTATTCCTTGTCACTGTTTGTTTTCTTTTTGCAGCAACAACTGCTATGCACAAGGGTGGAAATCTTGTCCCGCTGCTAACTGAAGCTGGAGCGCTTGCCACATCTTCTGCTTAAAGGACTTTAGAATTGCCTTCCTGCTAAAGGCGTTGAACAATTATATTTCTCCTTTTCTTTTGGTTCTATCTTTGCTATTGACTCTTCTGAAGTCTCTCCAAATTGTTAAGAAGTTGTGAATTGATATGATGTCTAATGTGGATAATATAAGAATATCCGAATACATAATTCATTAGGCGAAGCTGATGGTGGTGTGCATGGGGAGAGGCTTGCATTTTTGCAAGGTAAAAAGGTTGTGAATAAATTTATGCCTACAAAATTGTCCAAAATTTGTATGTTAGGGACCTAAAAGAAAGAAAAATGGTTGGGACCAAAGTGCTTTGGGGGCGATCGATGGCACGAGCAAAGCCATTTTAGTTATACTTTGAATGTGTTCAGTACACCATAAAATTAAGGTGTATTTTCTTTAATACGTCAATAGTGCTACGTACAAGTATTGAATAATTCAAATTTGCAGGATAATTACTAGATTGGTCTTTGAACTTTACATAAGGTTTTTAGAAAGTCATTGAACTTAAAAGGTTTTTTCGTTTGTCTTAGAGCTTCACAAAATGTATTTTGTAACTAACTGAAAAACTTTTGAAATTTTTAATGATAGATGAAATTATATTTTATAAAGTTTTATTATTAAAGGGGAAACTTTTGAAATTCAGTGAATTCCTAAAATCGTAAAGTTCAGTGACCAACAAGGAAATTATTCCACAATGTTTGATCACTTAACTTTCTTTTAACTGTTTTAGTGAAAGACTTTCTAACGTTTGAGAAATTAAGTCAAGTGGCATAAAAAAATGGGATAACTAACTTTTGTGACGATGTTTAACATTGATCGAGTAAACAAAAAAAAAAAAAATATTACACAGCTAATACTGTCCTAGTTAAAAGGTAAGCCCTTTTTGGCGACAAAAAGTTAATTTGGCCATAATTTCTATGCCCAATAATATGCAGCAAAAAAGAACTGCTTTTTATTTCTGCAAATTTAGGGCTTATTTGGGAGTGATTTTTTCTCTCCAAAAAATTGATTTTTTGACCCTTATTTCATATTTGACATTTTCTCTTACAGATGGACCCCACTTTTCTCCAAACAATCAAAAAATCAATTCTGAAAATCACTCCCAAACAGGTTCTTAATCACCCATCTTTTCCAGAATCAACATATTTGCAACGTAGAAAATTGATACACATCAAAATACTCCACATATTTCGAATCCTGAAAGGAAACTTTCCAATGGTACATCAACTTTTTCAATATACCACCTCCAGTGGCAGATCATAAGAATTAAGAAACACCTGATATTGGAAGGAGAATCCTAGGGGCAAAACTGATATGACTGAGGGAACCGTTTGGACAATACCAAATGTTTTACCTTCACCAGTAATACAAAGATACCATAACATGGGATATGCAATAGTGCCACCAACAAATACCTGCCCATCAAATATCAGAGAAAAAGGGAGAAAATTAGATTACATAAGACTAAAATCAATTCTGCGAATGTATCAAGTGAATATTTAGCCCCCTATTTGGTGGGATTAAAATCAGATTTTGATAAAAGTAGGTGAGATGTGTTGTTGAGAAGTTATGGATTCCATAAAATTTGTGTTAAATTAATTGTTAATTTTGACTTAGATTAAAATCTGAATTTTAATTTATATCAAACAGGGGCTAACTGAACCATATTACATACGACTAGACAATATACCAAACAAAATTTTGACTTATTTTCTTTCTTAATACTGTGAAGTGCTATCCGATTATGCTGACTGAACATTCTAAAAGAGATCAAATCCGATCCATTGTTTTCTATGACTAGAAAGAAGATCTAGGGGACCACAGGCTGAGTGCAGCCCCTTTCCTGTATACACGACTCAAAATAGAAAGCTTGATGAAAGAATGACGTTGAATTGTTTAAATGACTCGAGGTTGTAGCAAAATAAAAAATCCATCGCAAATATGCAAAAATGAGCTTTCTTATAGAACTTGTCATTCAAGGGCCATATGGAAGTCACTATCTGTATCCATAAATACCTAAATGCTGATAAACTTACCATAAAGGAGCATATTCAAATGACAAGTCAAGAATTGGGTACGGCCACCTGAAACAAGGAAAATACCCAATGAAACATGAAATAAATATTCGTAAATGAATAGAAGAGAAACTGAACTTACCAAATCGATACAAATGCATGGATAATCCATTCGAAGATGACATAAGTAGCCGTCCACAAAATGAAGAAAGAGATTCGGTACCAAGGGAACCCCTGAGAGGAAGATTTGAAGAGTATTTCAATACTCACAAGAAATGAAAATAAATTGCAAATATAAACAATATGTAAAAAAATACACAAAAAATGTAGCAGAAGCTTACCAGGCTGTTTAAAGCTGTATCCCCAAGGAGCACGATAGCATTGAGTGAATGTGCTACAACTGTCAACTGGCCAAATCAGGGAGACATATTTCTTAAATTGGTCACCAAAACTATCAACAGCAACAAGAAAAGAAATACATGAAACGATGCACATCAATGTTTTGAATGAAAAGCATTGTGGCTGCAAGAAGAGTAGCATCCTTAGCACCCGTGACTATACAAGGCAAGAACAGGTGACTGGAAATGGACTGGAATACAAATGCTAGGTCATATTTCATACTACTGACTAGTAACTTTCATTAGTTGAGTAGTTAGAATTTATCATTCAGAAGTTGGTGGTGCCTTCCATAATGTTTTACCCAAAAGAAACAGTTTAAACACTATAATAATACCATACATCCATAGAACATCAAGCATGAGTCTATACACAAAACAAACAATGAATGCGGCAAGAGGAAATATCTGAACAAGTGAACTATGCATATTGTAGCCACATGCATAGATTAAGGTACATTGATTCTTTAACTGGTCCATCGAGGGAAAATCAAGGATCCTCTCATGGTAAGTTCTAGTAAAAAATATATGTAGCTGCATGCATAGATTAAGTTTGCAAGGATGCATTTATGGTCCTAGACAACTCAATAATCATTAAGAATGGAAACTAAAAAGATTATATAAAGTACTTACAAAACTCAGCTCATAATCTCTGATGGTAAGGAAGGGAAATATTATGGTCCAGTAAAGACCATCAGTAAGAGTCACCGCCCCTGCAGATATCTGCTTATTGGAAATATGCATTAGAAGATTTAATCGACTTGCCAAAGAATTATAGGTGCAACCAAATATAACATTATCTGAAGATTTTTTGATGTATTAGAGCATCTACAGTAGAGCCCTTTAATAGCCTCCTTATCTTTATTTTAGAGAGTTAGTTCCTTAATAGTCCAGTAGACTCTTCATAGTTAACATTTTAAATAAAGAGTGATTTTCTCTACGAATGTACAGAGCCAAACCCACTCTCTATATAATGGTGGTGTTATTTATTATTTCAAAATTTCCCATACATTATATTCAAAATAAAGGAAAAATGACAATGTCACGAACAAGAGAGAAGTTAAAGTGAAAAAAATGAGGAAACAGAGTGAAACACAATGGTTTATTAAAAAGATCAAAGTAAAGATGAAATATACGTAGTACTATTGGACTTGAACAAAAAATCTATTTTTTATTTTTGAAGATGATCTTATAATAAAAAGATGCTTTTTAACGTAAAGAGCATTGTTGGAGATGCTCTTAGTATTAAAAACGATACCTGGTATAAAATTTGAAACAGGTATCCGCACAAGCCAGCAGTTCTCGAACAATGGTGTTCTTCTGGACATTCCAATCGTTTTTGTAATTTGGCTCCATTTTCATTTACTCCAAGGGCAAGAGGCTCGTATAACCCTTGCTCCACAACCTCTGATACATGGTAGTCGCTGCAGCTGTTTGCTTTGTAATGTTGTAAACATCCGTTGATAGAAAGCAACAAACCAAACTACACAAGAAACTACAAAACCTAAGATGGGAAAAGATAAATTTATAGAATTGGACAGTGTTGTGCTTTGAAGAGAGACTGCAACCACATCATAAAGTTCAAGACAGTAACATCATGAACACATTCCATATATATGTTAGGAACAATGTAATAAATGAACCATACCCCAAAATAGATGGTGACTAAAGTAAAAGTCCACCTGCACGGAGCCAAAAGAACATGTGATTAGAGGGAGTCAAAACAATTTCCACGAGTTAATCAAAAGTATGCAATACCAAATATTCCTGGGGACAGATACTTCATACGTTAAGAAGCTATGCGGTTTTGTCAACAATAAGTGTCACCAAGGAAGGCCTTAACTCATATCTGAGTTTGTTTCAATTTGTCAGCAGCCCTACATTTATCAGTATTCCAGAAGACAAAGATCACTTACTGCGTATAGTAGTAAAATAATTCACCACCGTGAGCAGCAACATCGAAACTGAGAGAAACTAAAAGCAGACAAAATGCTATCAACCGAAAAATCACCAAAAAAAGCGGGTGAATTTCTTTCAGACACGGCTTCCAAGATTCATCATTACGTAAAATCCGTGGGCTCTCCTGTTGCGTCTCCCCTCTCTCAGTTTTGGAATTGTCTGAACGTTCATATTTCCATATCAGAAATGATGCAAGGAGCATAGATGTCAAGACCCATATTGCACAGAGCAAGAATCTCCAATTCAACCAATAAATTGGGGTAGTAGTATCCTCACTCACCAGCAGCCGCATTCTGCTACAGTCTTAGATACACTTCATGTTACTTTTACAATGTCAACAATTCAATTCACAAAATGCTAGCTAGTTATGCAAACATGCTCCACAAGAATTACTTGTATGCATCTTGAAAATGTTGCATAACTAACCAGAAGACTTCTACAAGAACATTCCAATACGCGAAGGAAATAAACAAGTATAGTCTTTCTTTCTGTGTAGAAAATTGTGATTCGAGTAAAACATAAAAAATAGACTCTTGTGTATTCTTCGCTTGTAGGTGTTCATCGCACACAGCATACATGCACAAATGCAGGCAACTGACACGGATTATTTAAAAGTAATGCATGAACAAGCAACAACTAAACATAAAAACCAGAATAGATCTATTCCAATCTGATCGAAAACAATTGACACTTCACAGTTCTATAAATACGCATATGCATACTAATACATGCTCGCTCATGCGTCCGCAGATTGTTAACCAAAGCAACGGTCTACCTGAATTCTAAACAATTCCCCGTTGATTGATTCATGATACGTGTAACATATGTAAATCAACTGCACTATCGAGCTAATCCCAAATCAGCCTCTACACATTCACATCACTCATACACATACAATAACAAACATCTGTGCGTGCGTATCAATATTGAACACGAGGTCACATTATTGAAACACTAAGCAGATCAAAATAACAAGAAAATAAATTAAAATCGGAAACCACTATTTACAGAAATGAAATAAGGAGAAACCTGATTGAAAATTACTGCGAACTTGTTAATAGAGAAGTGTTTAATGGCGTCTAGGGGTTTAATTTGCCATGGAAGGAGGAGGAATTGGATTTGTGTGCTTGATTTAACCCCTTAGTAGTATTCTACAGTATTTTCATGGATGCTGAGTTGATAGTATAAGAAGATATGGTCTGGGACCCACATTTTGATAGGCATAAGTAGAAACTAGAAACTCCACGTGGATGGATCACGTCCCTCTTAACCGTCAGCTCATCAAACTTGTACTATTTAAGGTTTAGACTGTATTACGTGAACATTAAGCACCTGTTTGCCCTCCATTAATTTTCATTTCATTACATTACATTTCATTTTTTTCTCTTCTATTTTTAATCACACAATTTTTCATTAAATAATATTAACCGTAAGTCAAAAACTTTTCTTAACTTTTCTTTTCTTTTCAACCACTCATTTTTCAAAAAAATATTATTCCACACATTCTCATTACCTCAAAATGGGGGCCAAACCGAGGCTATAATTTAAAAATTTAGTATTTATTTGGTGGTGATTTTAAGTCAATTAAGATTAATTTTTTTTACTGTTATTTCATCATTTCAGTCGTCATTTTTTAATTTTTTTCTCATAAATAGAACTCACTTTATCTCTTACAGTAAAAAAATCAAATTCTCAAAAATCCTGCCAAACAATCACTTATATTTATTAAAAGATGATATGACAAAATTTGATTTGATCAAAATTTCATCAATCAATAAAAAAAACTCCACCGCATCATTTTTGACATCTCATCAATTTATAAAAAATTATATAAATAAAGATGTACAATAAACATTTTTTAAGATTTAATCTTGAAAGCAATATGTCAAAAAATGTCGGACTAAATAATACAATTTATAGTAAACAATCGCGGTAATCATTTGACGTGGCATAATCTTAATAATTAGAATAATGCTATTTATAGTTAGCGACGCGATAATCATCTTATGTGAAATATTATTTGAGATATTAACTAATCATTTGAGGCAACAGAATTACATAATAAATTTATGTATAAAATAACAAGGTGTCACATAATTGCTAACTATAAATAGCAATTTTCGTTAAAAAAATATTATGTGCTTGTTTGGTAGAGATTTTGATAATTGATTTTTTGACCGTTAGAGATAAAGTGTGTCCTATTTGTGAGAGAGTAATTCAAAAATGACGATTGAAATAATGAAATAATGATCAAAAAATTAATTTTAATTAACTTAAAAGCTCTACCAAGCAAGCTCTATAAATTGGATCTCACAATAATTACACGTATGGCATGCGTAAGTAGATTACTGCACCACTTCAACAATTACTATCGTATGCTTCTCAACTTTTGGCACCAGTTCAACAACTATTATTATTATTATTATTATTATTATTATTATTATTATTATTATTATAGGTCCATAATCAAGTTTACACCAAAAATACTCAACGAATAAAATCAAGATTTTCTCAAAGTTAAAACATAATAAAAAAAGAGCACGAAAGATTTTTCGGCCAAAGGCCCAGAGGTTCAGTGATCGCTTTTAATGCTTAGTCCCTCGTTGAGCATCCCTAAAAGATTAAGCTCGAATCCACTTAATTGGCCAAAATAGGCAAAGTTCAATTTATAGAACACAAAGCTCCCAGAAATCAAAAGTACAACACAATCTTCCCACCGTAGAAACTCACACAAGAGTTTCTCTACTAATTCTCTCAACAATCACACTCAATATTTTTCAGAGAAATCAAAGATTAGAACGGAGAAGATGAGAAGGCACACAGCCAAGAGAAAACCCTCAGAATACATAACGTAACCCTTAAGATCTCAAGACACATATTTATATGAGAGCAAAAGATCTAATGGCTGAGTTTCTACCACTTGTCTTCAATCCACAAAGACTGTTTTATTAGACTAAAGATGTTTTTCGAAGACAAGATTTCAACCTTTCCAGATTCTTTCCATTTGTGGGTCATCAAGCTGGGCCATTTGTAGGGCTTTAAGATGGGCCATCTTTGAATAAGTAGACTGGACTCACAATAACAGCAACTCAATACTTACAATCTCCACCTTGCTGTGTTTTATGCGTGCAACTATGTGGATTCCAAATTAACCTTTTATTTCCTTTGCTTTTATTACCTGTTTACAAAAACAAATTAGCAAGTTTCGAGATTTAACAATTTTAAACAATTTGAAAACTTACAGAGTGGTATTACCTTTGTTCCAGCATCAACATGATTTACTTTAGTGGGTACTTTTACCGATTTAATATCACTTTTATCTGTTATGTCTCTAATGAAATGGAACTTAACACCAATGTGTTTTGATCTATTATGAAAAATTGTGTTTTTATTTAAGAAAATGGCACTTTGATTATCAGAACACAACTCCACCTGATTTTCTATAAGACCTAATTCATTTAACAACCATTTCAACTACAGTCCCTCTCTAACAACTTCAGTAACAACAATATATTCTACCTCAGTAGAGGATAAAACAACTATTTTCTAAAATTGTGATTTCCAGCTAATGCATGTATTATTTATGACATAAAAATATGCAGAAGTAGATTTCCTATTATCTAGGTTTCCAGTAAAATCAAAATCAACATAAACCTTAGGTTTAAAACCATCTTTGCTTGTTTCAAACATGAGTCCCAAGTTACATGTACCTTTCAAATATTTAATTAGGTTTTTCATGCATTACCAATGAAACTCACCCGGATTACTCATGAATCTACTTAATACACTTATAGCATAAGCTATACCAGGTCTAGTACATATCATTATAGATCCAACAGCATTAGCATATGGCACATTCAACATTCTTTAAGTTTTTTCTTCTGTCTCAGGTGATTGATCAATAGAAAATTTCATGCAAGCAGACAAAGGTAAGCTAATAGGCTTGACATTCTCAAGGAAAAATCTTTTTACCACTTTTTCAATGTAAGATGTCTGAGTTAAAAATAGTTTTCCATTAATTCTGTCTCTCATAATTTCCCTGCCCAAAATTTTTCTTGTAGGGCCTAAATCCTTCATTTCAAATTTCAATTTCAAAATTTCTTTTATGGAATTAAGAGCAACAGAATTATGACCAATCAACAACATATAAAAGAAGGTAAAAGAATTCAGAATCACTATTCCTTTTAAAATAAAAATAGGGATCAAAATCTGATTTTTTACACTCTAGGGCTTGTATAAAAGAATTAAACCTCTTATACCATTGTCGAAGAGCCTGTTTTAAATCATATAGTGATTTATTTAGCAAACACACCAGGTTTCCTTTATTCTTTACCTTAAATCCTTTAGGCTGTGTCACATATATGTTTTCATCTAAAGGTCTATATAAAAAGATAGTCTTTACATCAAGTTGCTCTAATTCCAGATCAAACTGAGTTACAATAGCAATGAGAATTTCGATAGAAGTGCATTTTACTACAGGTGAGAAGATTTCAGTATAGTCTATCCCTTCTCTTTGTGTGAAATCTTTTGCCACAAGCTTTGTTTTGTATCTTTTATTAGTTATTTTTGAATTAGCCTCTTTAATCTTATATACCCATTTATAGTCAATCAATTTATATTCTTCTGGTTTCTTAACCAAGTCCCAAGTTTTGTTTTTATACAAGGAGTTCATTTCATCTTCCATAGCTTCAATCCATTTTGGTGACTCTTTACAAGAAATTGCTTCCTCATAAGAGGTGGGTTCAAGATCAGATGGTCCTTTCAGCAGATACATCATCTGCATATTGGTATCTGGAAGGGGGTCTCATTTACCTTCTTTTCCTATCCCTAGAAAGCTGATAGTTTTGCAGCTCATGTATAGGGCTTAATGACACACCCCGCCCCGTGTAACACTACTGGATCCGGATGTGGCACGTGTCGATGATAGATACCAACTAAAAGTCGGACCCACCATCAAGGCTACTATAAGTACAATTTATCAATTTTTATACATCATTTTTCTAACAGAATTTTGGTATTATCTCCCCTGTAAACAGGGCTAACCAAACTGTGATCAATTTCACACAAATCCCAAACTATAACATAACACAATAAAGATAAGTCGAAACCTCAACTTTTACCAAGAAATATAATGAAATGTACGTAGGGATACACAATATATAGTGAGCCCCATAACTATCTACAAGTGATACAAAATCACATCTAGACATGAACATGCGTTCCAAAATATTGACTACATGTTCTATGAAGTGAGTCATACTAACAAACTTTGTCGTGTGGCTCTGACTCTAAAATCAAGGCTCAACTCCAAAAGATGTCCAGATTTTCAACTGCTGCCTGATAAGGAAAATCGTGGAAAAATATATGAGTTGATAGTTCTGTGAGTGGAGAACTTCAAAATAAATATACTTTTTCATTTATACATTTTTATTGAAAATCAAATTTATATCATTTGATAATTTACAAGCTACCATTATGTAATTATAGCAAAAAAGTGAAATATTCACATAAGGTCATAAAATATCATCTTAAAATCATGATATAAACATCAGCTGATAACCATATTATAATCTCATCACTTCAAACGTGCTAAAAAATCCACAAAAAATATACCTTCTGACTAAAATATGTAATCCGCCCCTCGGGCTATGAACTTTCACCACGAGCCTTTGGCCCCCTCCGTGAACGAAAGGCGGTCTCAAATACTTCTGGTAATCAATTCTAGAATACGGCCAAGGCCCCTCTGTGAACTAAATGTACACGGTCGAGATCAATATCCGATCAAGACCCTTCGTGTAGGATAGAACATGGGCAATGCCCCTCTGTGAATTAGAAGAAGTACATAATCACGGGTACTTTTCTGGTCGATCTCAAAATCATATCTCACATTCCAATTCACAATATACTGCATAATTTGAATATATAATTGCATATAATTACACATACTTTAACAATATACTTAATTTATAAATACTTTAAAAAATATTTATATTTTTTCACTCACAGAACTATATACACCAAAATCAAATTGGTTGGTAAGCTATTCTGATATTCGTATCATCGCCTGAAATATGATATAATTTTTAAATCAATAACTAACTATTTTAAGAAATTTCTTTAATTAAATAGGCGATACCCAAACTTAATTATTTCACGTTTAGGCAATTTCTA